ACACAAACACACACACACACACACACACACACACACACACGCACGCACGCACGCACGCACGCACGCACACACACAATCACATGATCGCTCACATTTATGGCAGCTGAGGATAAAAAGTGAGAACTGGTCTGATACATTTCATGTCATTTACGTCCTTTTATGAACTCATTTTTGTCATTTATCCCATTTATTGAGTAGTATTTTTATCATAGTGGAAATAAACACCACTGACTTTATTATGAGTTTCATTGCCTCACTGTAATGAAATAACTTTTTCCACCAAATAACCTGATCAGAAAAACATTTCTTGCAACAGACGAATGTATATAAAAACACTGTAATCCTGCTGTGGCCAGGCCCAGAGACCAAAAGCAATCTCTTCAAATCCTTCTTTTGGTTACTATAGCTACAAATCCTTGAGACAACGATTTTATTGTTATTAATGCAGCAGTGCTTTCTAAATAAGATCATGGCATCAACCACATGGGCCTTTGGTCAGGAAGTGTTGTAACCATTGCCTCGGCTTTTTATTTATGAAATGTTGTAAGACTTATATGGTTTTATTGATGTCATTGTGGTGATATTACTGTCCAAACCCACAAGATCAGTGTCATTGCTTCTTATGATTAAGAATAGCTCACAGCATGTGTCACAAGTTGTGAATTTCCTCTTTTTTTCCAGATGACTGAGGGCAGATTGTGTCAAGTTCAGCTGCTGGATGACAGGAAGCTGGAGCTGCTGGTTCAGGTATGGATGTTGCACATAATGACAATGAAGATACTACAACATCTCATGCAGTAAAAGAGTCTGTTCTCGTAATCAGAGCATGAGAAGTTTTCCTCAGTGTATTACACTTGTTAGAATCTTTTAGATTAGGTTAGTATCAAATTTGTACAACCCTTATTCTGACGCAGTTGAGATTAAAATGTAAAACCGAAATCGGTGATTTACAAATTTCAGAGACTCGCATTTTATGTCAAATATTAAAAATGCTAAATGGTAAATGGACTGTGCTCATATAGCACCTTTCTATCAAACAAGGATACTCAAGCACTTTACACTACAGTCTGTGCCCTCACTGACCATTTCACACAGCACTCTACAGTGGCTGTGTCCAAATTCAGGGGTCGCATCCTCCGAAGGCTGAATTTGTCAGCCATTTACATCACTTTGCCGTGCCAGAGGCTGTCCCAATTTGAAGACTCCTAGATGCAGCCCACAAATGCATCCTTGTTTTTCCCCGATGGGATGGATGGGTCCGATGGATCCTTCTCGGCCCACCATATCCCAGGGTTCCTAGGTGAGAGGACAAGCTGGGGTAAAGGCAGGAATAGACCGTCCAAATTCACAGCCCTTTTTTCTGGTCGTCGCTGTTGAGCAAGGACCTGGCCACCTCTAGACAGGGCAGGGGGTTCAGTGTTTTGCCCAGGGACACTTTGACTCGTGACTGAATAGCAGGGGAATCAAACTGCCAATTCTTGCATTGGAGGACGATTTCCCTAACCACTCAGTTACGGAATTACTATCCAACAATCCTAGGACTTCTTTGCTGGATGGGAGCATGTGTTCTAAAATTAGAGATAAGACGAAGGGCTCTTTGAAGGGATCTGGATCTTGACGAGTCATTTGTTCCATAGAGTCGTTCAATTTTAACTAGTGATCATCACATATGCCGTACATGGTCACGTAATTCTGTCATGTGGGCAGTACCATGTGTTTTGTCAAGCAGAACCCCCTCCCCCTTCCCTGCTGAGCAGCTGTACTCCACCCTTCTCCGTGACGAAGCAAATTAGGAGCGTTTAGGTGACTAAGGAGGAAAATTAAAGACATGAATGTCCATATGAGAATAAAAATGTGTAAATAATGAAACTAGGAATGACTCTTTATTGTCAGGTTTTGTTAAAGGTAGAACTCAGAAGCAGGCAGGCACGGGGAGCTCTGTGAAACTAAGATACTTTAGTAAACATAAAGCAAAAACAAAAGCCGACGTGGTAGAAAAACTTTCTATTTCACAAGGAGTAATCATGGGGAGCGAACACGAGGAGACCAACCAAAACATGTGGCAGGGAGCCAACGTAATGCAGAACTGACAACTAAGCACAAAGTCATACAGAGGGACACTAATGACAAATGACAAACACCTGTGAAGAGACAAGCAGGGGTGGGAGGGGCTGAGGAACACAGCAGCAGGTAAAAATACAGAAGACAGCAGAAACACAGTAGGGATAAAATAAATAAACAGACAAATACAAAACCCTAAACTTACTGTCCGCAACCTGGTTCTTATAGTTCATTTTATGGAATCACTCAAAAGAATCGAATTGCTCTTGAACGTCACATCTCTCTCTAAACTTTCTATATGCTTTTCTGCATCAGTGGTGCTTTTTCAGAAGAGGGAGATTCATTCCAAAAGCCTTAATGCACCCCCATACCACCAGAAAGGCAAGCTTTTGAACTATGGTCTTTTAATGGCTATTTTAATGGTTAAAAGAAAGACAAGGTGACTGATAACCAGAACAGTAATATTTGTTTAGATTTGCGTTTTACACAACGCCCCAACTTTTTTGGAATTGAGGTTGTGAAAACGGTAGAAGATTAATCTGATGGAGCACATCTCTGGTGAGTTTGTTGAGAAAAAACAAAGGAACTGCAGACTGAACTTAAAGTCATTTGGTGGTAAAAACCTCATTCATCCTAAATAGATTAGCATATTGCTCAAATACGATATTTCACTCGGCGCTAAAAGCACATGTTTCAGGGCTTACTCTCACAGAAAAGTATGTTATTTACAAGAAAAAAGCTAAATGGCCACCACAATTTAAATTGTGTTTGAACAACAGAGTATATTCATTTTGACATTTGAATCATGTTTCTATTCATTGAAGTTCTGTACTGAATTTTATTTTATTTTCTCGCATTTGATAAGACTATCAGGTGGATCACATATTGTTCTTAAAAAGTAAATCATGGGCATCACTTGTGCTAATTTTTTATACTCATCTCACCGAGTGAAAGATTCTTATGGAACACTGCTGCTTCAATGATAAAGATGGAAATATGAAAGCATTATATTATGAATGATGAGAAACCTTTTGTTTGTGAGACAGTCGAGGATTTTTAACACATTTCATCAAGCAGTGACATTCAAAAACTTAAAACTTTGGTCTAAATCTTTCCCCTTCAGCCGAAGCTTCTGTCCTACGAGCTCCTCGATTTGGTGTCGTCCCACTTCAACCTGAAAGAGAAGGAATTCTTTGGTCTTGCTTTCTTCGATGATAAGTATGTAAACTGCAAAGATCTTTTTTTTTTGCTGAAGTAAATAATTGTAAAGACGTGTGACTGCGCACACTTGCAGACATCAGCTTTCTAACACTTGAGCTTGTTTGCCTCTGCAGTGGTCAGTGTAAGTGGCTGCAGATGGACCGCAGAGTTCTTGAACACGACTTTTCCAAGAAGCCTGGAGCCATTTCTCTGAACTTCCTGGTCAGGTAATCTTTGAGTGGAGAGCTCTGGCACGCTATCATGGGAGCGACATCCTGGCTGAAGCCAAATATTAACCACAAAAATCATAACATTATGGTGTTTCTCTTGAATGGTAAAGACATGCTTGTTACAGTTTTGTTGCAATTCATCCACATCAAATTTAGTTTGTGAAAAGATATTTTAGACACTTTAAAGTGAGGTTCTGTGGCAAACACAGTTATAGTTATATGGAAGTGCAAATAGTGGCAGTGGTGAGAGGTAGCAACCTTCCAGATGGAATTTTTTAATCCATCAGCTGAAATAACAGTGTAGCCCAAAACTGATGATAAAAAGTAATAAGGTTTACACAAACCACTAGGAAGTTTGGAGTTTTAAGAAGCAATAATTTCTCTGGAAGTTGGTCTGCTCAGACTGTATTGATGAACTAATAATGGCTTGTCAGGACAGATCCACTCTCAAAATGGATTTTACCATCATAAAACAACTTAACTCTTTATAATGCTGCAGCTGCTCATGCACAACCTGTTATTTTTTACTGTCAGGCAGAAATATTCCCGCCTGCAGCAGAAGCTGCAGTTAGTTTGCAGTTTTGAGAAAGCCCAGAATTCAATGTAAATAACCATGAAATGTAAAACTGATGTTGGTGTAAAAGTTGGTGAATTAACATTTTCACGAGCTGTTTTGAAATGTTTGAGTTGGCAGCAAATCCGTTTATGGTTCGTTCTTTGGTTTTCAAAATAAAATGAGAAAAAAAAAACAATAATTGGGTGTTTTTTAAAACTAAATTAGAAAAAAGGCTATGTTTTATTTTTTTTACTTTGAATTTTTATTTTAATGGTTAAAGCAAAGACAAGCTTTATATTTTGTTAGCACGCCATTTGGTACCTTCTTCTGATAGAACCAGAAATAATTGTCTGAACTGCTGGTGCGTTACGTTTTCACTTCTCACCATGAATACATTTGTTTTATCATCTCATTGAGAGCTGATGATTTTACTGTGAACAAAACTATTTTAATGTTCCAACTTATGCAGAATAATGTTCGAGTGCAGCCATTGCCCATAAATTTAGGAATTGTTTTCTATTTTTAACCAGTCTTCCCAATGATCGAAATTATCATATGGACAACCGTCGTTTCCGGTATCGCTACACACAAAAACAAAAACTGTATATTTTATTTTGGATTTAGATAAGCAAAAATCAAGCACTGTAAATTTTGATTTAGTTTGATTTATAATTTTTACATTCAGGTTTTAAAAATGAAAACTTAACAAAACAAACAAAAAAAAACCCCAGAAATTTTATTTTGAAACACAGAAAACAAAAAACAAACCATACACGGGTTCAGCAATCTATTGGCTGTGTTTGTTGCAGCTGTTAGCTTGTCAATTCTTTTTAACTTTATTTCTCCAAACTGAGTTAACTCAAAGATCTTTCTACAAGTAAGATATTAATTGTTCATAACCTCCCCACCGAATCTTAAAGGCTGAAATATTGTTTTAAACATCATTACTTTTACTAAAAGTGAAGCTTTCATGAACCATCAGTCTCAGGATCTGTAATACAGTAAGTAACTTTAGTTTGATCCTGTTTTTATTTACAGAGTCTTTGCTTTTGTCTTTTGTCAGGTTTTATGTAGAAAACATCACACAGCTGAAGGACATCATAACAGTGGAGTTATTCTACCTGAATGCAAAATCAGCTGTCTACAATGTAAGTGTGTGTTTGCTTTCCTTTTTTTTATGGGACTAAAAATAATAAAAAGGTGTCCTGCTGTAGTTGTTTTTCCCATCAGAAGCTCCACAGTGATTCACTGTCTCTGAACTCTGCACCTCAGCCTAGTAGACAGTTACTGCAGGGCACAAATTTCTTATCCTGCTGGCTGGAATGTAAAGTGCATCGAGTGAGAGAGTACAAAAAAAAAACAAGAAAACTTCAGCTTGTGAATAAGCAGAGGTTATTGTGGGGGCAGCACAGGGAGTATTCTCTGCTTGTGTCTGCAAAGCAAACACATTTTTCTAACCTTACTTTCCTTTCTGCCTTATATTTTCTCAGGGGATGATCGAAGTGGAAACGGAGAATGTCTTCAGATTAGCTGCAAATGCTCTCCAGGTTACTTAGTTTAATAGTCTCTCATATATGCTGTATATTAATTGTTGCTTCTAAATGCTTCTAATCTAATAAGATGTTTTTTTTTCTAATTATCAGGAGGCAAAGGGAGACTATACGAGGTAAGAGCACATTATGAGCTGAAGTATTTAGCAGCAGCAGGATGAGTTAATAGCGAGCTGTTGGAGGAGGCGTTCAATAGGTCGCTTGTTTCTTCGGTGCAGACAACAAAAATCAATAGCATTCCTCTGTGAGACTCACCACAGAGTAGCAGAAGCTCGCACCAGACGACTAATGAGTTTCACAATGCTGATTACAGCCGAGTCACTGCAGAACAGAGACACCTTTCCGTGCACAACACCAGCTATTATCTGGGTTTAACCAGGACAATAATGCTCACTCTGTTCACAGTTGAGCCCTGATCTCTTCCCAGGACCTCATGAAGACACACACACACATCAAAATAGAAAAATATATTACCTGAAATCAGCACACATTTGAGATCAGCTGATTATTTTCTAAGTTTACTGTTTTCTCTGTTCTGTTCCAGTGATGAAAACACTCGAGCTGACTTRAAGAAACTTCCAACTCTTCCCACCACAGTGCTGAAGGAGCACCCATCTCTTGCCTACTGGTACGCTTTTGGGAAATGATCATTACTGAAGATGAAAGCATGGCTTTGTTTTTGCCTGCATCTGTGTGTACTCATACAACAATTTGACCAAACTAGCTTCACCTGTCCCCTTTTCATCAAAAGATAGTTTAAAACCTTGGCATGAAAAGTGATGGCTGATAGACATTCCTTTAAAGAATGGTAGCCATTTTTTCATCTAGAAACTCTTTTTCACAGAGGACCACGTGAGCATCGTGGGAACCCTCTAAGGACCATTTGGTTAATAACTTTGATGTTTTATGGGTGTTCAAAGTTAAATATGAAATGTCACATTCATTGTCTCATTGCTACAATTTAGAACTGCTAACAAACAATAACTGAGCTCTACGTGGTATGAAATGGCATTTTAACATGTTCTCTTATAAACACTGAGAAGTACTATTTGTACAACTGACAGAATGGGAAATAAATAATACAGAAATACTATTGAAAGTAAAAGAGTTTTACTCACTGTTGAGTTGTGGTGAGCAGCTGCCATCTTGAATTCTGAACTCTCCCACTTTCCAACATGGAATTCCCACTGGAGGGGCATTCCAGATTAAATTTACAACTTGTAAGTGGGAAATTATCATTTCACCTGTGGCCCAGTTCAACTAGGCCACAGGAAAAGTAATTAGCAAAAATGTAGCGAAATGAAAATTTTGCAAGTGAATTTTGCCGGGTATCGGATATCAGTTTATTAAATTAAATTATTTTATTTTATTTATAAAACATCTAAAAGAAATATAGTACTTTATATATACAATAAAAAGCATAAATCATTAATGAAATGAAAGGAAGTAGAAAGAAGAAAAATCTTATTATATCTGGCCCTTGTTTCCAAAAATAAATTCAAACAGCAATTATATACACACAGACAATGTCAGGTCCTTGTAAAATAAAAGTAGGATTTGTAATTGTTTTACATGCTTTCCCCCAAATTTCAATACAATAGATCAAGTGCGGAACAATCATTGCATTATACTATCATTCAATAACTCCTTTACTTGGTACAGCAATGCAATTGATTTTGCTATTTTTGTTTTTAAATAATTTATGTGGGATTTCCATGTCAGCAGTTCATCAATGACAACACCCAACACATCACTCACTCTGTAAATCTCATGACCATCAACTCTAAATGGGACCTGATAGTTCTTTTTCTTTTACCAAATATCACGTAGTATGTTTTATCCAAATTCAATGATAACTTATTTAGTTGGAACCAAGTTTGCATTTTCACAAATTCTGCATATATCATCCCCAAAGTCTGTTCAATATCTTCACCTGAATAAAGAAAATGTGGTATCATCTGCAAATAAAGCACACTTCAAAAGTCCAGACAAGCTAACCAAACCATTCATGTACAAAATAAACAACTCTGGTTCAAGCACAGAACCCTGAGGAACCCCACATGTAACATTACAGAATTCAGATCTCATTATTTACCTGAACAAACTGTTTCCTATTATTCAAATAACTAGATACCCATTGTAGTGCTAATCCTCTAATGACTAATTCTCTAATAAATTCAAAGCTGTCATTTTGTGGTTAAAATAACAGTTTAGGGTGAATACTGGCTTTAAATCCGCATGGACTTATTTTAAACATTAATACATCTTTGAAGCTCTAAAATCCAGTAGTGGGCCACATTTGGCCGGCGGGCCTTAAATTTGACACGTGATCTATACTGAAATCTTTTTGGAAACAGATTAAATGCTTTAAACATAGCAACACAGACAATTTAACCCATATTACATATTTAATCAACCAAAAGAAGCGAAAATGGGATTTTTCATTTGATTACACCGAATAAAACAAACGATTTTTTTCCGTTCTGCAGTGAGGACCGAGTCATTGAGTATTATAAGCAGCTGAAAGGTGTCTCCAGAGGACAGGCCATTGTGCAGTAAGTACTGAACCCAAGTGCCCATTTCTTTTCATTTCCTTAACACTTGTAACACAGTTAGGCTGAAGGTCCATTCCTTTTTCTGTCCAGCTCCATCAACCCTTTCCATCTTTTTCTCCTCCCTTGCTGACATGGTTTTGCTCAAAGCATCTGTTGGGAATCAATATCAGCTCTTTAGCTGCAGTCCCACTGGCACATTCCTGTTTGTCTCTGCTCACTTTTCAAAGATAAACCACCAACAAAACGTACAAACCAGCTGTCATTTCTAATAAAAGTGCTGTCCTGTCTAGGTATCTGACGCTGGTGGAATCATTGCCAACATATGGTGTTCATTATTATGAGGTTAAGGTAGGTTTGTGGGTCTGACTCATAGGCAATGACAGTTATTGCACCTGGAGTGGAGGCAAGCAGTATGAGTTGTGTTCTTCTCCTCGCAGGATAAACAGGGCATCCCCTGGTGGCTCGGACTCAGCTATAAGGGCATCGGCCAGTACGATCTGCAGGACAAATTAAAACCTCGGAAGGTAAACGTTCTGTAAAATGGCTGCTCTTCTTTTATTTATTTATTTTTTCTGTTTCACACTGAACTGATTGCACAGAGTGAGGACTGTTGCTGTTGCACATGAGCGCAGTGATTCACCAGCTTTAATGCATGCACCATGGCTCGCACCTCCTGGAAAAAACTTGGCTTCGGCTCTGGCAGACGAGGCCAGACACGAAAATACCGGAGCAGAGTCTCAGTTTAAAGGAATTTGTCAGTTTTTTTAAATAACAATAGTCGATGGGTGCGGGTTAAATATATATATA